GTTTTTTTTTCTTTTTTCGTCATTTTTTCCTCGGGAATGCGTAAGAGCGCACTTTGTTTTTATTTGTGCAAGTCCCTGTAATTGGTTCGTTGCGTGCCGACCGAGAATTCATTTTGTCGGACCTCGATCATTCTAGAAAGTGAGCTAATTGGCTGAACAATATGTTTGATTGGAGCGTTCACCGTCCAATCAGCGAATGAGGTGATGAGCCGAGTGTAGGGATGAGAATATATTGTGCGTTCAGTTGAAAATTCGTTCTGCAAATTGGGATTTACTGTTTTCATTTTGTATTCGTACGGCTATAAAAAATAGAATAAACCAAAAGAATGATTTCTTAAATGGCACACAGCGGACACCGTATTTGGGCACAAAATGGTGTCGACGCTGAGAGCGACGTCAAAGGCGTCGCAAATTGCGATGGAACAGGGAGTAGGGAAGGGCCAAACGCATGATATGGTGGTAAAATGAGAGTTATAGCCCCGAAGGGACACGCACAACTTTTGGCTGTTTCACACGAATTCCCAATTAATTTTAAGATATCGCTATTTTATACACACGCCAGCTGTGCCGTGAAACAAAATCACGACGGGTCAGGTTGCCTCTCATGGCACGGTATATGTATCTGTTCTAGTCAAACAAGTGAAAGGAACAGAAAACCCTAATATTACGGCAAAGTAACACAGGCATCAGTAGACATACCCATGGATACGTGTATCTGGTAAATCATTCACTCCACAGTGGTAAAACCTTGCATAATTTGCATTCGAGTGATCTTTTCCCATCATAACCCTCATTCTAACCAGATTTGGCATTTAGCTCTCCTCCCCAGGAGGATAGAACTGATTTTTTTTTTCAACTCCAGACAGATCTGGGTGGGTGAGGGTCAACAGGGCCAACGCCACACGGTTTTGAAGGGAAATTTCTGAATACAGCGGCACAGAGATGGCGGTTTCTTGGGGGGGTGCCAGTTAATTTACTGACTTGTAACTTGTTTGCCAACCTCGTGTCGTGTAAAATTTACAAAGTGCTTTGTGCAGTATTTTGTCCTCCATGGGAAATGCCGATAGCCAACATATATCGTTTATGTATTAATTAAGTTTTGATTCATTTGCCGACCGAAGCTACGTTTTACAGACGTGCCTTTCGCTTAACCCAGTTGGTTTCGGTTACAAAGTTTGCTACCAAACCCAAATTTGCCCAAGTTATGCTAATGGAAGCATTTTTTGGCGTTTTTAATAGCTTCGAAACTGCCAATGAGATATTGCCAATAATAGGCAAAGACAGCGCCTGCGACGTGGCAAGCGAAGGTCTATACAGTGTTCTACCGAGCGATCTAGACAGATGCATTTCAATATACTAAAACTAATGTGGTCTGCAATTAAAAGAAAGGTACAGGCCCCAGTGGGTACCGGTTTCTCTTGCTCCTCTCCACTGACAAAAATATTGACTATGCCTGTAACAGGAGGAGGTGTGGGTAGAGACTCACCTATAAGTCGTCTCCTTGCGAATCTTCTCCCCGTCCCAGTCACACGCGTCTCCTCGGTGACCAACTTGGAGACTACGAGGCCGCCATCCGCGGCTCCGCTAGACGTTTTTATACGCCTTCCCCCGGCCCCCACGTGCCAGTGACCCAGGCCAAACACCAGTGACCGTGTCAAACCAATCGGGGCCTAGTAATAGCCGAGAGCCCAGCCCTCCGTTCTGTCAGGAGAGGGGGAGAGGACACAATAACAGTGGGAGGGGAGAATAATTGATGTGTCTCAATGGTCAATATTGGTGCACGATATGAAGTTAAAGGGGAAAACGTCCTGTTTGGACTGGAAGCGCGTGTCGGGTGTTGTATAGAGACCTGATGACTACTCAGTGACGTGTCCAACGGGGGAGCAAACTTCCAGGGAGCAAGTCGCAATTCCCTTTTTTAAGTAACTTAAAGCACCAACACTTTAAGGCCGATGAAAACACTTCCATATTTTGGGAAGGATTCTTTTACAAATAACTAAAAATAAATAAATTAAATTTAGAAAAATAAAAAAGAGATTATTTCAGAACAATCCCCCTTTGCGCTCTGGACAAAAAACTGGATATGCCACTGTGGTGCACGTTTGCTTTGAAGGTATACCGTAAATCGTGAATGCTGACTTTAAAATTATATTTATATCAAACTTAATAACTTGACGGACAATTTCTTTTTCTATAGATACATAGTAACCGACACTTATAAGGCGTTACAACTGGTGTCAGACAGCATATAAGGGTTTATTGCAACTGATCAGGATTACTTCCTTCTCTCGGTGAACGGAATACTGCCTATAAGCCGTCGACTGAAAACCGTATTTATGCTCGAGAAGGGCTTCGCCATCACGATGGGTACAGTTTGCATATTGTTGTTCTTTTTTCTTTCTCCTTTTTACCATTTCAGTTTTTGTCATATCAAATTTGTCGATGTTACCGGTATACAATTTAGTTTCTTTTGGAGAGAACACATAGTCCTCTTGTGGCCACATCATACACGAAAGTTTGTCCTGGATTGCTAGTATACACGCTTTGTGCCTTCAAAAATCAGCCGAACTTGGAACTGAGAGCTCGACAATTTTTACCCTCGTACGCCACATAAGGTGCTTCCACATTTATTTCAACTACCTGTGCACCCTTTTCCCAACGTTTCTGATTTTAAATTAAAACACTAAAAGAGTTACAACAAATGTTTAAATACCCATAATTTTCAAAGTCCATGCACGTCTGGAATGTATAAAGGCAAAATTTGATATAACGTCTTAAACTACATTATTTTCCTTTCAATATAAGGGGAAAATAACGAATTTTTCTTTTACGTTAATTCATCAATCGCAAAGAGCAAATTGAGAAAAGGCGATTAATGGAACAAGGTGATTTGTCAAACTTGATTGTCCGCGCTGTCGGTGAGACCAAAGTATTTTAACCTCCTTCCCCCGCGACTGATCCTGTCGCCATGGACGAAAGAGGATAATAGTCCCCTTGATGAGGAGATGCAGCGCTCCGTTGTCCCTTAGGATAGAGGGCTTAAAAATCGGACACCCGTAGCCGCGACCTCGGGTTCGATTCCCGTCTATATCCACAGAAGTAAACTACATATGAAAAGTAAACATTTGCAAAAGCATCAGTTCGGAGGCGCATTACGTTTCGACACGGATTCTCTCTCAAAAGCCTTTGAAACAAAAGTAAAAGACTCAAGAAGATTCCGTACTCCTCGGATCGACATTTCAGGACCTGTGCACCACCAAAGAGTAGAAGGAGCCGATGGAGGTGACCACATTTGGTGCCCAAAAGATGACCGGCCCTCCGAATAAACCAACAGTGCAGTGGTCTAGTCCCTAACGGAACTGAGTTGCTACCTGAGTTGCTATCGCGGTGGCGTGGGCGGCTGTCGCGCGCGCTGTTTGTAAAAGGTGCGTGAGTCGAATGCGTGTCAACTGAAGCGTCTGGTTTCGCGGGTGTGTGCACAGAATGAACCAACCTTATCACAATAATTACTTGGTAACCAGATAGTATGGAAGGTTCTTTAAGCAAACAAGTAATGAGATACCGTGCAAAATAATGAATCCAATTACGGGCGATGACTCAATTACTTATGACTCTTTTTGTAGAGTTGGGTCACGTGCTCAAAGCAGCTTAAGCGCAAGGCAGAGGGCACTGATGCTTACTGGAAGCATCCTCCCATTTGTGCCCCTCCTCCCCAAAATTCCCAAAGCCCCAACCACTGAGCTCTGGCTACGCCTTACATATTCACTACCACTTTATAAATAGCTAGATCAGGGTTCTAACCCTATCCAAAAGAACGGGCATTTTATGCTTTCTTATACTCCAATGAATCTGTAACTGAAACCTGACGATGGAAATTATTTTGTGGAAACATTTGAATCAGTGTTTGTTTTTTCTCTTTTTTGTTGAAAGAAAGGACTAAGACAGTCAAACTTGCTCACTGTCTTGGAATAATAAACCAATTTATTTCGTACTGATTTTTTTCCTGGTCGTATCCTTATTAAAACTTAAAATGCTGAATGACGGAAGGTAATTGGTTGACCTGAGGCAAAGGAGATCAAAACAAGATTCACTTAGGTAATTGGCGCCTTGTGCAGTTTACTTTTAACCAGTTTAAGTCAATAACTCATTCTACGTGACGGAGCAAAGTCTACGGATTCTTCTCCCCATCAAAGAATTATTAAACTTGTGAAATTCGGGCACTAAATTCTGGACGGCGAGTTTTCTTTCCCAAACAGCAATTTGAGCGACGAATGCGAAACTAGTATGTTGATGCCACTAAAATTGCAACTGACCTAGAGGATTCATTCGGAAATATGGGCATTCTTGAAATTCTCAACAAAACGGCAAAAATGCTTTTCTGTTGAGATTTCTTGTCATTTTTTGTGAGTGTTTCAATCAAATAAGCAGTGCAGTAATTCTGTGCCGGTGACTGAGGGATACTGGACGACACCACATGAAACAAAGCTGTTCATTGTGTACATCGTACCTATACTTAGTTCCTAAAACCTTTAACCTGACATTAAAACGACGCGTGTAAATGCTTTTGTACCATTTCTCTTTTTTCAGTACTACTGAATACATTTCGTTGCTGAGAAGTTCGAAAAACACCTGGAAATTCACCTTTTTTTCTTCATCACGGGGAAAAGTGTGATGATCCAATAGACCACCTCCCTGGTCGTGGGGTATAATGTACCCCGATTCCCCTGGATTTACGCCAATGAAAATAATGTAGGCCTAGGCCTAAAAGTCATCCAATAAATATATAATTTTAAAGCAGCCTTCAAATGCTTAAATAGAATACCAGCTAATTAATGAAACTAAATTTGAGGTAACAGAATAATTCACACAGCCTTCCAAACGCTAGATAAAGCCATCTGCCTTGAAAATGGGGTCCAAAAGATTCCCACGAGCTTTGCCTAATTCAGTCACGCACACGTCCCATCCATGTCACGCACAGGAAGAAAGCGCCCTCAACGTTAGTGTACGCGACAAACTATACTTTTCTCTGATTGGTCAACGTTACGTTATATTATCCCGGCGCCATGTTGAATCGCTGGACGTAACATTCAGGACATTACGCCGTTGGGAATTACTGCATCTCGGGTTCCTCCATTAAAGCATACTCTCGGTGAGTAGACACAGGCCCTACGTGTACAGCCTTCTTGCGTATAAAAGCGTTCCATGCAATGTCCACACGGCTGTGGCCGCCTATAACGATAAAATTTTGTTGTCGTTTACAATGCATTCAACAGAGGGCGTCAGCAGGGTTTGTTATGCGTTGCAGCTGCTGTGCACCGGCCCCGTGAACGATATTAGTTACTGGCCAAACTGTCCTGCTGTTCCGAATCGCATACGAAACCAAGTAGGCTCTGCTTGTTTCCCACGTAATGACAGCTACAGACAAGTTCAGGAGGGCTGCTCAGTACTTTCGAATTTCTGGTCACAGCTTTGCATGCAAAGACAATTTCAATACATAGGCGTACATGTACGTGTACGCGCACAATGCAGGACTCGGCAGCGTGCCCATGGACTCGGGATTCAAACTAACGTAAAACCTTTTAAAGTCGAACTGAAAAATTGTTCAGTTGACGCGTACTCATTCTTCAGTACACGTCACATCACTTCTGGCCAGTATCCTCAGAACGTGGTATTCTCTACACATTTCGACAGACAGCTGACATGGACTAATTGTTCAATCTTTCTACAGTATTAACAATACAGTGTTATGATTTATACACCTAAAATAATTGTATGAAAACTAAACAACGAGCATTCTTTTTCTGCGGAGCACATTTGACTTCAACTACACGTTATAATAAAGAACATGTATCTCTTTTCTTTGTTGCGCGTCTTTCGATAGAGGGCGCTAAACAAGTTGAATACGGGCCCGGATCATGTGCGTGTCGCAGCTTCTCCGGGGGGCCTGTGTACGCGCACTACGTGAAATGGGTAGTGTACAAAGTTTGAGTAAGATGTTCCCTATATATTACATGCAACTCAAATTATTGCAGTTATTCAGATTATTGCAATTACAGTGTCCTTTCCCCCACCCTTTGTGCATCCCTAAGGAAAAATGAGTGGAGATGCATGTATTTTCTCACTGTGTGCCCTGTTCAGAAAAGCAGGCTAGAGTCCCCTCCAGGAACTGGGAAATTACTGCATAACCCGGACTTCTTTCTTTATTAGTTCAGATATAATTCACCTGTGCTCAACACACAAATTACGAGGCCATTTCTGTCATCAAAATCGATAGAAAAATTATTCCGGTCATAATTCCTCAAATGTGTTGTCAGGGTGTTGAACAGCCACGTATACTTGTATGTTGTACAGTCAACTCTCGATGTTACGAAATCCGCGGGGCCTAGTGGAAATGTTTGTTGTATCCGAAATTCTTTGAAGGTGGAACGCAGTGCAATGGCTTCGGGGAATTGTATATGCATAGGTCCAATGCCATGTACAGTATACAAGTACATTTACATGAACTGTAGGCCTACATGTACACACGTGAATGTGGTTGATGTTAATGGTATCAGAAAGATCTCTCTGTTATGATTAGTCAAATATATCGTGATTTGTTCAGAATAATAAACTTCACTGTCATATGAAAACATATTTCACATACATGTGAGATAAAAAGCAAATAAAAGCATCGATCCCGGGAATTAATTTGAAGATATTTCGATCACCATGGATGAGGACGAAGCTAACTTAACAAGCATGTACATGTAGACCTGGTACCTGCAAGAATGGGAAGACTCATCAATTGAAGCCCCAATCCATGTAAGTAGTCTTTCCAACACAAATTGTGTCATGGAGAGGCATGTTTATTTAATTTTTCATCTGATCTTCGACTCTAGCTGCATGACAAGGATTGATCGCTAGTCTGAGTTCACTCGCCCACCGCGGCGCGCCGCCCGCGCGCGAGGTGGTCGCTGTGTTGAAAAGCCACATGTACTGTATATTGTACAAAAATATATCTGTAAAAGTCATAAGATCAGACCAATATAGCCTAACTGCCTCATTTCACATTTTTGACAAGACGACTTAAAATCATATCTTATATGTACTTAACTTCGAGTTTGCTTTCTTAACTTTTATCATGTCAAGTTTCCACCTATTTTATTCCGGATGGCTGCCGTGCGTTATGTATTATTTACGTACACTTCCCCGAGCAACCCATACCGGTATGCATGTGGAAATTTCAGACACAAATCATTTTATTCCTTTACACATAATTCATATATCTATTAGTAAATGAAATCTGATTTGATAGTGCGCGTACTAAATGAAGCATAAAACTGACTGCTCCTTGCCTTGTGTAAAACGAGTGCCGTTTTTTCTATAGGTCTACTTATTCGTCAGTTTTTGTGTCATTTTCCTCACGTGCAGACGATGAAATACATTTCTGATTTGAGTAGTACCCGTCACGAGGACACATTTTTGGCGGATGCCTGTTTACAATATCGTGAATTTTTCTCGAACCATTTTGTGTATTGTGTGCGACAGCAGCGTGCCGGAAATTGAGGGCATGGGGGGGGTACTTGCCCGACTGTGGAAATTTGAAAAGAAGGAGGCGGGGAACTGATGCTGACACCATACAGCACTATAGATGGCGATGTTCATACAGATGTACATCTGTAATTAGGAATTACATTGCCGCAGAATCTTACATCAGAACAGCATGTATACCGTGATTTTTATTATTCTCCCTGTTTGAGTACTATTGAATATAAATTTTGTTGTTGGGAAGTTCGAAAAATTATTCACACTTCTTTTAGTGTTTATATTAATGCGATCATCACCATATTCATTAGCAAAACTGTGATATCAACACCAATGGGAGACAAATCTGTCAGGATGACTTCTCCCCGAGTGTGCGGTCCAGCACATTTATCTCAGTTCGCTTAAAACGGTTATCAAACATACTTGTATAATCTTGCCTATAAATTTCCTTTTTTTTTTAATTTTTGTAGTGCTATAAGCAAGTTTAGGTGGATATGTGCGCTTTATTAGAATTCATTATTGTTATCATTGAACTCCAGCATTTGCATCGTAATTTGAATCCAAGGCACCGGTAGCTCATTCTCCGAAAGAAATAGCAACGAAAAACGAACGAAAAATGTAGTAAGAGGACATGCCGGAATATTCATACATAAGAACATGGAATTGCTAACCGTACGTAATGAAGTTGATATAGCATTCCTCAATTTCATAGCCTATGAAATGGGTTGGTTTTAGTCCAGAAGTTATCGCTGCAATGGCACGCGTAGTAATGAATCCAAGGCGCAAGAGAAAGAGACTACTTGTACATGTATCAACATATCCAGCACTGAGTGTGGACTGCATAGCACTCTGATGAAGTTGATATAGCATTCCTCAATGTCATGGAGTCCTCAGTTCGGTTTTAATCCGATAGGTTGCGATGACACATGTATAATAATGACTCCAAGGTGCACGAGGAAGAAGAGGAGACTATGTGTCCAGCATTGAGTGTTGATTGCACGAATAGCAAAATCCGTGCACAAATGGAGCAAAGGTGATGTGCACTCAGGCGAAGGGCAGAGAGCAGAAGACTCCGGACTCCATGTTAGTGCCGCAATGGGAAATATTTAAGTCAGAGAATAGAACTTGGGACTGTTGGGCGTATTCGAAACCCCATTCTCATAGGACTCACGAACAGTGTTCTTGTGTCGTCGATTACGAACGCTGAAGTGCGAAAGGATTGCAGCTGTGCTGTGGGTCAAAATAGCAGTCACCATTTTGACACCAAATGAAAAGGTGGCATGACATTAACCAGCCTCTTACATTAAATAAAACCCCCAAATAATGTATCCATATCAGATGGTCAAGGTAAATTCTCTCCGATAGCCATGAGTATTTGCCCTGGGTTTCATTTTCCTTATTGTGAGTGTTTTCTATCTTACGTAACAAAACAAACTTCCAGTTAAATGACGGTGTGTGGCATATATCGCTATCTTTGTTCTTGATGTTCTCCATTCACTCCCCACAAAATGGGGAGTGAGAATCTTGTTCGCGAACATTGTTCCGTTCTCGTGTTCGTCTAACACGAGAACGGGGTTTCGAATATGCCCGTAGATTCGTGCAACTTAATGGCCTCGGCTTCGCCTCGCCCATAATTTCTTGCACGCCGGAATCAACAGTCGTCGTTCATTCTCTATATGACATAAAATAACTGTCAATGAACATTTCAGGCGATGGAATTAAGTCAGTCATTGAAAATTCACAACTTAATTAAGCCAATTATGTCTTTCATACTGGGGTGGTGGGCGCCGAAACCTGTTTGAAACGTCGTGCTTTTGCCGTGTCGAATACATAAAATCAAGTTGAATTGTAACATGTATTCGACACGGCATAAGCACAACGTTTGAAACGGGCCTTAATTTTTAAGCTCACGTCCGTTTTATAAATGCAGCTCGATCATTAAACTTATCCAAACGGCACTACCATGCGACCACATTTTCCCACATCTGAGGAATTGTTTAGTCAGCCTACGCACAAGTACACGTTGTATAGGTAGTAGTAGGCCTACATTTGCCGATAGTTACAGCCTGTAACGCCCTGTGTATTGAGTTAATCACTGAATGCCCAATCGTTTGGTTTATGTGCACAACTGGCGCGATCCAGCTCCGTCGATGTCGCACTTTGACTGCCTGGATTATTCGACCTCGCAAATGCCGCGGTCACTGTGCATGCGCAGCCGGCCATGCGCCATCATTAGGCGCACAGTGTGTGTGCAACCTTCAGGTCATATTCATGGTGCTAACCCGTATCGTGCATATGTCCACAGCATCCTGCCAAGTTATCCAAATACGTATATGCATGATATGTGGTAAACTGAAATAGTGATCTTGTCTCTGTTGCCCATAGGACACTCATCAGAGGCCGCAACCAAATTGCTTCACTCTACATAACGGTTTTAAGATGGCGGACGCCGAGACGGACATATCTGCGCAGGTGCGAACCACAACATCAGCCACTGCGTCATGTACGACCTCGTCGCCAAAGTGTACGACTGTTCCCGCCAGTGTCATTCAGGCCGTCAACAAGTCCAGTGACCTCGTGCCTGCTTTATTTGCCCTTCCGTGTAACAGGTTAGTTACATTATCTGCAGCGACTGAATTAGCAACTTTCCAGTTCGCAAAACAGCATTTTACATGTATGTGAAGAAAAGTTCAATGACCCTGTGCTCTCACTGTTCTGAGCATTTCTGTTGTGGAGCCGTATCAATGGTCGTAGTTCTAGGAACAAGAATCGATGATTCATGTTGTATTTTAATGTAAATGAGTGCTCATGTTTTGTGATCGAGTTTCCTGATGCTTGTGCAGATGTGTAGATGAAGCATATTTGGCTTTTCTCAGACTGTCGTAACGTTATTCCGTAAGTGAATTACATACACTCAAGACATACATGTTCCTCAAAAATTTCATTTACAGTCTGAAAAGATCCCAGTCCTGTCCTTCGTTACGTTGACATGCCAGTCAGGCACCTGCACTGTGGCACACTCGATTCGTTACAGATAGAGGATAGATTCCTGTTCAGTATGTTGTCCAGACGGTCGTGCCCCTTTCGTGGGGATTCATGAAAAGCATTCACAAATCTTATATTGAAGAAAAATACAGGTACATGTACATATGTATAGCTAAGAGAAACTACATTTACTAACTCCAAACAAAGAAAGTGAAGCAGGAGCATGCAAATAATAATTATACATGTAATAACATGTATAATTATTGCTCTATATTAGTAGCAGTAGTATTAGTATTATGATTGTGCGTACATGCAATTATAACCAATTAGATATTTACCACATTACAATCAACTAAAACACAAAACATTGAAAGAAGAAAACAATTATCATAATTTGACCAAAAAAGTTGCAACAGTGTTATTAATACTTCTAACAGTGATGTGTAGTAAACACGTGTTATAAGTATTTGTTTTGTGTTTTGGTATTTGGGTTTAATTTGATTGTTTTGGACTTTTTCTTTTTGTCGTTTGTTTTTGTAATAATTTTGTTGTTTGCTTATCTTTATTTTTACGCTATTCATCAATTTTCTTTTATTGGCTCTTTTTATTGTTTTATTTTCGATTTATTGTTTAAAAAGTGACAGCAGTGAATTCTCGTAGAAACACTTGTATGCAATTTTATACTCTCCTTCTATTTATGAAAACTACTACACATTTCCCTAAGTTATGTGTGTTGAAAATGCACTTCTTTGAACATTCCTACTAAATCATCTTGTTCCTGGATGACTGAGGGCGCTGTTGCTGTCGTGTCATTCAGGGAAGACGTGGTTCAGTTCATAGTTTTTGTGTTCGATTTGTAATCCCCGAATTTATTCAATAAAGACATTTTTGAGCAAGGATCGCTTGCTTTCATTTTGTTGTATACTTGGCAATTGTGAATCACCAAAGAAAAGAAAATTCAGATCAGCAAACCAATGTTACATGTTCATTGAGCGTTTCTTCCTGGGTTGACATCACACTGCTTTTTTTACCCTGAATATGGAAAATATTCATTAATGTAAAAGTAAAAGGGAGGCAAAATATTCAGTCAACAAAAAAATTGAAAATGTCCAGCCCAAAACGGGATGCATCTAAATGATTTACCGTTTGGTCGGAGAAACTGAAGCAATTGAGTTTTACACAAGATTCACCCTGCTATCTTTGTAAAGTAACGTATGATAAACTTGAGAGTTGCTAAATGGAAACAGCGCCCCCAATAAACCAAAAGTGACTTTCTTCAAAAAGGTTACAATTTAATTTCCAAACTTTAGCCTTCTAAGTGTAGTTGTCGATTTTTAGAGCAGATAATACCTCTGTAATTTTTCTGGTCATTCTTTTTACCTCTTTTCCTAGGGTTTCACTTTGCTCTCGTAGCTCCCTCCTATATGATTTTTGTAAATCCAAACATGTATCTGTATTGCACCCCACACCTTTAATGGATAATCCCTAAGTTGTGCCTTAAAAGTCAGAAAGCGATTTTCAGGAGACCACGAGATCCAATATAATTTTCAATATTCCAGTCATTTTGAACCGTATAAACCTGGTTATATTTACTTCAGAAATACAAACTGACCTCTTGATGAAATCCATTCTTTACAAATAAAATATGCTTTTGTTGCTAAGTGGAGCAGTGCACGTTAAGGTACAACCATCGTTGGCGATCTCTACATGCATTTGGTTTGATTAATTTAAACCATTGGGAAAGTTAAGATTGTTACAGAACTAGTGAATTTGTGTGGTTTGGGACATCTGTGGAACATTAAGACAAACCAACTTGTTTTACTTTTCATGTACCTCCAGAAGAACATTTATAAATGATGTACTCACCGAATAATTTTAATTAAATTCAGAAAACGTACATGTATACTTCTTACGAATTAGATTCTTGTATATTGCATAGTTTTTTGTGGCTATAGTTTTCTGAACATTTATGACTTGGTTGTGGTCTCAGTTTGGTTTGAACTACAAACTTGGAATTTTCGTTTTCCTTGTCTTTATTCTCATGCTTTCCGTTTCCGCAAGCATTGTCAAAGGTGCCCAGACTTGTCCATGCATGAAAACAATCACCCGCTTGCGGTTCAATTATGCCCCAGATTGAAAAAAATCATATTAAGTGTTGTCAGATGACTTGGAATAATTGAAAACCTTCCCAACCTCCCAGAGTCGAAATGTTTAAAGAAAAGTCTGGTTGGAGTACGTAACATGGAAGTAGACTGAAGTACGCTGTACAAGTTATCAAAAAAGTTAAGCAATAATCCAAGATCATTCATTATTGGGCATTGTGTTAATCAGTATTCAACTGCTTCTGCAACCAAATTGATTTTGTTTATTTTTGGCAGTGGAGACACCAAGAAACTCAAGCTTTGCAAGCGGGTTGGATGGTTACGAGACGGTGTCTTCACAACCGGGTACATGGAGATCAACACGAAGGAGGCAAAACAGAAAGGCATCTTCAAAACACCGCGACGGGTGACCCTGGTCCGGCGAGAGGACAGCGCGTTCCAGTCCACCACGGTAGGCACGAGCACCAAGCCGCCCACCGGCGACCAGTTGAGCTCCGTCATGCTGAAGCGAAACACCTCCACTACGGCCGTGATTGATTTGAAGGGGGAGCTTGTTCCAAACACCATCCTGGTGGAGAAGGGTAGCCTGGTGTTCGATGAGGGAACGACGGGCAAGCTGGTCGCGCTCAACAGCCACGATCCCCCGCCCATAGTGGGGGCTTCAGACGCAATTGTTGACAGTGACGACACCCAAAGCAAAGAAGCAGTTAGTGAAGCCTCTCGAATGGAAGATCAGAACCTGTGTGGTGATTCCCTTGAGAGAGACACGGTCGTTCGCAACTGTGAAAACAACAATACAAGTAAACCCTCGTCAGACTCGCTCAAGCCGGAACGTGGGCAGCTACGTCAGATTCCGCAAAAGGCGCCCACGGCGTCTGCAGACACTGCTGAGGATCGGCTGTCTGTCCCAGAATATTTCTTGACCGAGGAAGGTGAGGCCTCTCCCGTGGGACGGAGATCAGCCTCCGAGCCCAACCAAGATTTCCAGGCCACCCCAGCCGTAAGGGCGCTCAAGCACTTGGTGAACGTTGCCGATGTAAACCGCAAAGCGCGTTATTCTAAGAATGGTGAACCGTCAGCAGGAACTGAGCAGCAGGTGCATACAAAGTCCCATATTACCTGTAACTCAAATGGACCTGTTCTCAGATCGTTAAGAGCAAGCCTGAGTAGCGAGAAGTCACCAGCATCATCAAGCATCAAACTTCGAGATGCCCAACCGTCCAAGCGCCGCTCCCTGAATGAAACTGTTGATTTTCTCTTCAAGGAACTTAAAATTGCCAACACCGGAAAGCTGAACCCGACATGCAGCGTCATCAAGCTGGATATTGACTTCTCTTCCAAAGATGCTGTCGAGGAGGCGGTCAGGCAGTCGACCGCCAAGACGTCGGTGGTAACAACCCCATGTGTCCCGAAAGAACACCTCAACCTGTTAGACAAACGAACGCAGTTGCAAACACCACCGTCCAGAAATACTGTCGCCACAAACAGTTCATCCTCTTCATCGTTTGATAGTGCCGAAAGAACGTTGCAACCCCCCACCAAGACCTGTGAAGCTGTTAGTGACCACTCAGTTGTTTTAGTGTCATCAGAAGGAGCCACAGCTCTCTACCAAGCACCTGCAAAAACTGTGCATCCCTCTGGACCGTCAGTAAGCAGTATACGTGATCTTGCGACAATATCTACAGGTGACAAACCACCCAGTCAACATTTTCCCAGTTCTAGTGAAAATACACGAGAGACTTGTTTGAACATAGACAGTGTTTCGGTCAGTAAAAGCGCTCAGCGTCAAACGGAGGAGCAGAATCCACTTCAGACCCCGTCTCAAGCAAAACAAGTCTCCACGGTGGACCATATCACCGTACCAAACGGGAGCCCAACTGCGCCCACGAGTTGTGCCTCGTCCGAATTGACTCGTAGAACAGGCCCCCGTAGTCCCAGCTCTGAAGTCGGGTCTGAGAACCATTCATCTGAAACTCCAACGCAAGCTGCACCAGCCTCCGAATCACCAGCTAACGTACCGCAGACGCCAGTGAACGTGGCTGTGGAAAGCACAATTCCTACCGATCTCGACAACGGAAGCCCGTTCAAGAACTCTTTAGACGGGTTCCCCACTTTACAGATCGGTTCAGTTTACAGCTTGTCAGAGAAGGAGGCAAAAGAACTTTTCCCTGATCCCAAGCCTTCACAACCCAACAAATCTGTTCTGTCGACCCAAGAAGCAGATGATCGCGATACCGGTATACCATCAACGAATTTCGGAGTAACCGGCAAGGAGGAATTCACGGATGCCTCGCATTTACAAGGCATTAACCTTGGCAGTCAAATCCAACCAACCAAGACGGCGTCATTTTCAAATCAAAATGTATCAACCTTTCCCTTTGTCAGCAATCCAAACGTCAAACTGTACAACATCACACCCTCAAAAGCGTCGTCGAACAAGAAAACCATCTGTACCCCAGTTACTGCTGTAGTGCCGAGCCCTCCAGCAAACGTGTTACCGACCAACATTGTAGTCTCTGTGCCCGCGGCCCCCGGCTTGATAAATGTGCAGCAGCCAGTTTACCGTGCCGCTGGGCAACTGTACAAGCTGGTTCCATCCACCCAGGCAGCGGCTGTCCCAAACCAATCCCAGCTGGTCTCGCTCGTTCCCGTTCATATTGGAGCACTTCAAAGAACCACCGTCAGTACTTCGCCCTCGGTTCCCGTCCCAACATCCAGCATAGCCCAGGTGGTTTCCTCTGCCCCTGCACAATTTCCCATAAGACCTTCTACGAGCGCTGCCACATTGCCTTTGAAAAGGCCGAATCCTGCTGTCTTGAACCTTCCGATTGTTGCTCAAAGTTGTTCAGGTGACAAGCGGATTGTGATAACCAGGGTGAGGAAGGAGGCTTCACACCGGCCCCAATCCACACCAACAAATCACGTGTCTGGGGCCGATGGAGTAAGCAAAGTCGCTCCCTTGTCGTCTGGCATCGTTACTCCGGGGTCAGGTCGAACAATCTCGTCCCCTGGGTTGGCTACAAGTCCACTCACCCCGAAGATTGTAGCGAGTTCTGCCGATAGTGTCACAGCGAAGAAAACTATAGTAACCAGAAAGGACACCGTCGTTCCCATAGCAAAAGCCGTAACGACTAAACACTCAGAATCTGGTTTGGAACTGAAGTCTCCGCAGCGTGGATTCAGCCCGGGGATTGATGCTCCCAGGAAAACATTCCTGATCACAACCTCAAACGGAGAGAAGAGGTTGGTGAGCCTTCCGGCTAATGCAGATGCTGCTACTGTACTATCGAAAATGGCCAGCAACAAGGCGTACCAGTTCGTGCTCCCACAAAAGGCCACTGTCAAAAAGGCAGACGGTGAGAAAGGCAGTTGCGAGGAACTAAAGAGTAGCGAGTCGACAGTGATCCAAAGCCCAAAGAAACCTGAGAAGTCTCCGGATAAGCCTGCGCATAAACCTGCGCACAAAATAAAGAAAAAACAGCCCATTCTAAAAATTAAATTTTCGAAGGAACCGGAGGTGGACCCGGACGTCCGGAGAAGTACCCGGGAGAAAAAAATAAAGCGCCCCTACTCGCCACCACGAGAAGCCCCCAGGAGAGCAAAGGTTTCTCGCCCCGAAACTCCATCAGTGACTGATGACGAGGCCAACCAATCGCTGGATGTCCAGGACACTGACGGCAGCCCGTTGCCGTTTATCAAAACCGAGCCCGGTAGTCCCGATCCAGAGCCGACATATTGGGACGACGTGACGGCTGAGGAAGATAGCCTGCCACCTCAGCTGCCATGCCCGCCTTCTTACTTTGATCGACAGGACAGGGTGAAGCGATTGAAGGCATTGATGAAGGAGAAGGAGAAGGCCCTAGAGGAGATGCTGGAAAGACGAAAACAAGAGCTGGAGGAAAGGCTAGCAGATCCGGAGCTTGCTGACCTATAAAATGCTGTCATTTGAAGCTGCAGTTGTATTTTTGTTAACTAGTGTTCATTTACGAAGTATTCTCTTCTCAAAGTTTTAAAACAATGCTGGCGTTCTTCACGGAATGGTCATGTTTCGCTCTTAAAATTGAAGCTGGCAGAATGACAAACGGTCATTTTTTGCTTTAAAGGTTGGATATCAAAATAAGACTTACATAAACCCTCCTTTCGTTTTGAGCTTGTTTTTTGTAATACATCAAATACAGAAACAAATAGTTAGAACACAGCAGGGTGTAAAGAGTTTGTGCACATTATACTTACTATAGATGCTAGCGGCAAAAGAATATTTCTTGTGAGGCTCGAAATCTAATGAAAAGAAATTACACGTACATGTATGTTCAACTGATTTAGGAGGAGTCTTGTATAGTATCAACTTTACCAATTACAGTTCAAAGTTAGAGCTGCAAGGTAACACTCGCATTCATGGATAGCGTGTGATTGCTTTGTAATTTTTCCCTTATGTTTTACGTTTTCTTTCCTGTTTTCTGATTATAATCCTCTGTCGCACTGTACTGAAAGTGTGACCTTATTTATACTTTAATGTAACTGTCAATATTTATATCTACATCTAGATCTTCAGTTTAAAACGAATATCTCGACGCCAGTGATAGTTTACGGTCTCGGAAAGGGAGCTGCTTTATTTTGACGCCTTTTACTGTAAGATTTTCTTTCCTTAACTTTTGTTGTTTTTATAAACAACAATGAAGCGTTCTTCAACTATTGCCTCTGTGGGAAAATACCCCCTTGATGGTTCACATTGATAGAGAATGGTATGGAGAGACCACTGAGCGCCATTTTGCCCTTTGCACCTTGCTGCACGCAGTTGAGATGAGCAGTAGGCAGCACAGGTGAACCAGCGAAGTGCCTTTGTATAATGGTTGTCCAGTTCCACAGCGCTCTCTACTTTCAGCGCGAAGCCCGCACAGAAGGTTTGCATAGCTGCCATCTTGTAGGCCAGAGCATTTGTTCCACGGGGTATGCACAAAGGAGGCTTCCCTGTGAAACAAAAGAACTGCCCTACAAAGTGGTCGCCACGCAAAGCGTCTATTGGTCTATCTACAGTATGTTAAAAGCTAGCGTGAAAAAAATGCCATATTGATCAGAGTCGATAGAGTTAAATGACAAGAAGCATTATAGGTGTTTGAAGTAGTGGCGTATCCGGGGGCAGCCCCCAAACATGTTGCTTTTTTGTTTGTTTTTCTTTGCTTTAGTGTTACGAATTGGAAGCACCAGCATTTTAAAATGTTACTACCACCTGATGTGGGATGATAGGATTCTCTACGGGAGAAAAAAATTGGATAGTCAGTTTCGGAAAAAAATCCATTTAACGCCCCCCACCTTGATACGCCACAGACCTGAAGAAAAGAAAAATTGCAGAAAGCGGCCATCTTGTTTTGTGTTTCATGTTTTTATTGCGTATACCTCTGTGTAACAAAAACAGATGAAGGCCTACGGGTACGTCCATTTAAAAGATCCGTGTTTTAATGGTAATAACAAGACCATGGAATACTCAGAGAGCTGTATGACCTGGGCCAAGTTACGCAGATGGAGGAAAAAAATCTGAATTGATCGGATATTCAATTTAGGTGTCATTTGGAGTATCGAAATAAAGTACTACACAAATGTTTCTTGGCTGCGTTTCGTGTGCCACTGCAAAACACCAACATGACTCATAGTATGTAAATGGAATGATTCGTAAACTGTATTGGGTTTTTGCATATGCTTCTGAAACCCCACGAATTTTGTTACACGTGGTTCAATTTTTATGTCATTGCCCGTTGGTCCCATTGTTTTGATTTCCGTTTGAATTCATTCAGTTAATGAGTAGGCGTGCGTTTTTCAGAAACTAAAAGTCTTTCCATCTTTTACTTTGACGTCAATATTCTCAACTATATTTCCAACTTCTTTATTACAATTTTAAACTAGGTCCACTGTGGTGCTGTGTTCGTATATACATGTAAGTAGAGGAAAATTCCATGATAGGGCTATGATTGTAGATGGTTCACGGCGTGTGTCGTGATCAAGATCTGTAACTATCGCTTGGATAGCTGTGACTGAACACACGCTATAATTGACATGGGTGGACCAGTACTAAGTGTAGTTGACATGTAAGCGACCACCTGGCCAGCATATCACATTGAACAGCAGGCAGTCAGAACAGAAAGTTGTGATGACGTTTGACGTAAGTCCAAGTGGAGACGTTCGCTCCATTAGCCTATCTGAGGTTTTGTCGACAAAATAGGTCAAGTAAGATCTTTTTGTGTTTACTCCAAATGTAACCCACTTCAAATAGCGCCCTCTATTTGTGTCCTCCATGCTTCAAAGGGGGCTTATGATACCAGTGCGGAGGGAGGGGCGCAGTTCGTCTCGAATCCACTTGTGGTCGACTGCTATCCCTTGATGGAGCTTGCGCCTCGAACACATCTTGCGGAACTGCCAGTCAACAATCAAACGCACAAATGTAACGCTTTCTGAGATTACACACTCTCATTCGCTCCCCACCAGAAACTTCCAAACACGGTTCATTGAGGAGAGTTATGCATCATCAATTTGTCATCAGGTGTTTTTTGTCAATAAGGCCGGTTCATACTTGACGCAAAAGTGATCATAAGGTGAAGTTTTGACGCAGTGGCGTATCTAGGTTTGAGTTTGGGGAGGCAATGACAGTCCGATTTTAATTACAGGTTTTGCCCTTACACCGACGCATGTTCATAAACACTGTAGACTCAGTACATCTTGAAATGACAGTCATAGTTCGTTTTAGCCCGTAGAGGTGCCTAAGGCGCAGTACCGTTTCGGACGTGTTAATGTTTTCAATACAAAATTGTCAACATGTCTGGGGAGAGGCAAGTTGCCCTATATACCCCCCGCTGAATACGCCACTGCTTTGATGTCACACCAAGTATTTGTGCTGCGGAAGTCGTATAAGTTGAATACAAGCACTTGCTGATAATGTTTTGCGACGTCGAATTCGCTTCAATTTTGAGTTCACCTGAAGTATGATCCTCCCTTTCAACGATTGAATAATAAAGTTTTCAGCATATTAAACACGTTCTGATGACACGAGGTCAGGGATTGGCACACTTTGAACAAATGCATGGTTTCGTCTTGACCAAATTCCTCTTTAAACACGTGCATACGCCTACAACACCACTTCTCTTGGGTTTATTGAGGATAGTGGGCCCCAGTGGACAAGAGGTATATGCTTCGTATAAATCATTCTTTCCTTCATTGAATGTTTATTGCATTTATATGAAAGTGCTATAATTCTTCACTTTGGAAAATACCAAAACTTTGACCTGTCTCAAGATAGAACTATATGTGGTGCTTAATCTAATTGATTAGAGGAGTTCTACATGGGTGTACGTAGGATTAAACTTTTGTGAGAAAAAATGCACATGCACATATTGTACATTACGCAGTGCAGAGTTTTTAATTACGAAGTTCTTATTTAAAATTCTATTCTTCACACACTTTGATTTTTAATAGCATTCAATGTACTCCGATTTCTATCGTGAGGATTTACCTGTAAAATACCTGTAAAAAAATTTGAAAAGACTACATCTGGCTATTATATCAGGTACTGTTATAACTAAGGTGGATATAAACCTCAATGAGAGGGATGCTTGTAGAGGTACACAAAAATATAATTTATCAAAACGTTTTGTTATCTGGTGACAAAATGTGTAACCAGAGATGCGATTGAGCAGTTGGTGAGAAGCAAAATGTACCCAAGAACCCACCTCAGACGATGGACTAATAATACAGCGACCAGACTAAAAAGCCATCCGGTCGACTGAGGTTGTACTACAGAGTCACAGGTGTAAACCAATCCTGATGGGCTGCACCTTGCCCAGGTGGACTCCCTGACCTGGGCTAAATGGGTTTGTACCGTACTTGTGCATTAGTAGTACGCGTGTAGGAAGCCAACCCAAGGGATGTTTACACCCATCACAACGCAGTTGAGTCTAGTGCCACAACAGCACGGTAACTATGGCGTCCCCTATGATTATTCTATGCAGCAGGGAGGTGTTCTCTGGATGCACCAGGATGTTGCTTGCCCAAATAGAGCAACGAACGCGTGTTGAATAGCAGGGGTGTGAGAATTCAGCTTTCAACTTTTCAGCTGATGTGTTCTGATTTTTATTTTAAATTTTGTACCCCTAATCCGTACATAATTATGGAAACCCTTTCTTAAATTTCAGCTTTTTGCTATAGCTGTTTTCAGCTTTTTTGTATGTGGCCACTCACATCCCTGAATGGCACCTAGCACATCATTCAGTTATTTGACCGGAGGCATCTTTATCCGTTTTGGACGGACACAGTTCAATGCTGTTGACATTGAGCGTCTGAGGGGGCGATTTTCTGGCTTTGCTCAGATACTGACGTTGAGCGGATTCACGGCTCGAGACGCGTCTCATGAAGGCGTCTCGGAACGACCTCCGATAGGACGGATTGGTGGCGTTGTATATGAACGGATTTATGGCCGAGTTTAGGTACAGCATGGTGCGAGCAACGTGTACGAAGCTTCCAAAGCCCCTTTCGTCGTCAACTATGTCCTGAATGGCGGCTCCGAAACTCAGCGCCTGAAACGGTGCCCCGCACACGAAGAAAGACACTCCGTTGGCAATGAGCATGATCGACACCTGGTTGCGCACGCGGTCGTTCATGGAGATAGCGTGCTGGGACAGTGCATTGCTCCCTGGCCTGTCTTTGAGCGCGCGGATGATCCTCACGTATGCGAAACAATTGAAGACCATGGCAGAGAAGAAGGGTATAGTTTGAAAGAGGTTGGTGGAAATAGCCAACCAGTCGTTGCTCGGGACGGGTGCGCAGACGCCAACTATATTTGGGTAAGCAGAATATTCGGTGCTGTCGGGCCAAACGATGCACTTGAGCAGAACGCGGCAGTGAGTGGGCACAACGACAACTGAGCAAAACAGAGCAAGGAACCACGCACCAGCAATCAGCTTCCAGGTACGCGAGTAAGTGTACATGACCATGTGCTTTAGCGGGTGGCACACGCCGTAGTACCTCTCCAAGGTGACCAGGGTGACGAGGAAGATCGACACCCAGTTAAAGAGGTGCTGGAGGAGGTTCAGGCTCGTGCAGCCGGCCACACCAAGGTAGAGTTGGTCCCACGGCACCGGAGTTACGAGGTAACGTGCCAGCTTGTCGCCCACTGTGACGACCAGGAACAAGATGTCTGCAATAGCCAGGTTCATCAGGTAAGCGTTGGTCACGGTGCGCATGGAACGAATCCTTGCCATGACGAACAGAAAGGCCAGGTTCCCGACTAGTCCGATGGTTAGAATAGTCGGCATAACGGCAAGGACCAACACCAGGGAGGTAATGTCGTACAGGAAACTCGCGGCAAATTCGGTGGAGAGAGAACAGTTGAACGTGTTATGGGCAGGGCAGGTCATGGTGGCGACTTTGTTTTCCACTGCTGTGCGTGTTGTCTCGAAAGTGACTGGCATTCATTGAAGACCCTATGGTCTTGGTGCTGACAGGTAATCTGCCAAAAAAAAAGAAAGTTGTACAATATTTTACATTAAATGTTTTTCGCCATTGCTAGCGGTGACAATACGCGAGCTGAGGGAACCCTATCGAAGCAATTATATAGTAAACAATCAATGCAAGTTTACCAGACCGTGAAGACAATCGAAATAGCATGCAGAAGACTGATATCGAAGAGTCGATTCTGTATCAAATGACTTCTGGCTCGCCAACAATGCGTATGCAAATAAAAACCCGGTACTACTTTGCGTGTTTTCAAAGGGGATTATTTTTTCCAGTTGTAACAGCAATTATCCACATCAATGGTATCGAGATACACAAGAACACAAATTTTAAATAATCATCTCGTCCAACATTAGGGACCGAATATAAATTTTATTGGTGTGACGATGTCCGTTTTGAAATTACATGTAATAATGTTCATTTTGCTACTTGTTAACATAGAGAATATAGTTTACGGCGCTTTTGCAACAGTTATCGTTTACATATACTGTGTAGGCACGCGAACCAGGCATGCATGCATACTGTTTTTAATATACATACCTATGCGGCCGGAACACCAGTAGACGAGTGCACCACACTACCGGGAAGATGCAGTATATCCTGGACCGCAGTTCAGACGTGTTGGCCACCGGCATCAAGTCATTTTGTTCCGTCAAAGTCACCGACTATTATAGAGTACTGAAGTGTGACGTCACTGTTAACCAGAAAGTGTAGTACAAACCAATGGAGTACATGCGCACGTTGATTCACGCGCTGATTCTCTCTCGAATGCCTTTTACACACACACAATTGTGCGCGTGACGTGGACAGTTCGGTATTCTATACTGTTACAGACTTCCTTCCAACCAGTAATTTATTGGACTGCGTTACCGAGAATACGGGGGATCTCCATCCGCCTCCGAGACCACGGAAATTCCTCCAACTCCAAGAGCATTGACTAAGTATAGCCTATAACACGCTCTGAAAATAAACACCGTTTCCTGGGCCACGACACTCTGGCTGCCCTTTATAAATTAGATTAGGAGTGAATAATTTTTTGGCAGTGAGAAAGTGGGAGTTCTTATCAAATTTTCTTCTGTCTATGAGAGAATGGGATTGATGTAATAATGAGTGCTGACCTCTTATCCTCCTGCCAGTGGAGAGCGCATTAAGGTTGACCTAATTGCGTTTGGATAATCACAATTTGTAGCTTTTGATTCGTTTGACTTCTTCTGAAACTTTAAAAGCATTTCCGGCTTAATTTCTGCCAAGCGTTTCGTGATGTTAGTTTTGGTCCGGTGTATTAGTACCAGTGTACCTTGCAATATCCGGCAACAATGTTTACAGATTTACGTGCCACTTGCGTGAGGAGAAGTGAGCCGAGTTTGAGCATCGGGTAACGTGAGGTATAAAAAAGCACGGTGTGTTACAAAACCATGAGTCTTCACTGACAAAAGGCCGTTAAGAGCAGTGCATACTTGTCCCTGGTGTCCAATTTAGAGGCCAGCAAGCATTTGAGGCCTCGTGTTTTCCAGGTAGATTAAACAAAGAGCTCCTATACGCCATAGATTCATTATAGGGAGACAAGGGATGAAGAGGCCTGGAGGTGGGGGACATACTCAATTGCTCTACCTCTTCAGTTAATCCATCAGCTACAAATTGCTTTCTTAGAAAATTAATAGAGTCCAAAAGAAGATAACCTGTATCCTTAAAAGCGCCATGTCTATTTCAGAATACCATTTTTAGAGTTTTAATTGTCAGTATCCAAAGAATAGGGTTTCGCTTGGAAACTCTCATCATGTCTTGCTAAGCCCCGCCCCGAACCATTACTGTGTAGTTCAGAGCCATTCTAAAATAATCTGAAATTTAAGAACAGTAAAGCAAGACTTTTTGAATTTTGTCTTGTCTACTAGTTCTGTAATGCTTTTCTTTGTCTTCCTTGTTATTCACAACAAAGGATACAATCTATATCTTTTATCGTCCCCATCTGTGAATCGATCAGGAAACAGGTTCGTTTTATTAACTCAAAACTTGCAAGCCCTGAGCATGTTTCGCACGGGATCGTGGTCCGACGAGCTTAAAACACGGTTATTCAGATCCGTGTTTGTCCTCTTTGCAATTCAACTTAGCGTTCACTTTGCCGGGATAAGAGCATAAAGAACGTGGACAGTGTTGGCCTTTCGCCAGGAAATGGTAACCGCAGCCTGCGAACTCACCAACTTTAGCACTGGTGAACATGCTGTAAATTTCATTCTTGTCTCTGTGTCCGATGTTAAACATATCAACCGCAGATCAGAATGTTATCGGAGCGTAGCAACATTAATCCCTATGTGAAATTCACTTTCATTGTGTGTGCTCGGTATGCATTTAGTTTTGTTCGTTACGCCCGCCATACTTAGGGGTCTACTTCGCATATTCTACACTCCTTAAAGGTACGCACAGCACCAAAGACCCATTCAAGCGTCTAAATTTGTAAGGAACCGAACGATATCTTCCCCATTCATCGATGTACGCTCTTGTCAATTTTCTGTGAAAAGCTGGTATAGTCCTGGTTGTCTAGCATGTCCATGTCAACTGAGCAGGAGCCGGTCGTCATCTTTGATAAATTTAAGGGCTACTTTGACGCCAGCCTCACTGCTATTGCAAAGCCTGAAGATGAGTCTACCACGTCAGAAGAGCTCAAATTCAAACTGGAAGCAAAGGAGCTCAGTAAACCGGGTACCGGTAACATTGTGCAATTTGAATGTTGTAGGCATTTGGAGATCCTGTTATGAAAAGTATAAGCTGCCCTTGAACTGGGTCACAACGCCGAATCAGCGCTTGAGACCGTTCAAGAGTCCTTAGATAGGCCGTACCGTTGCACAGAGGAAGCAACCAATCTGCATCGGAGACTCCCGTAAGACTGGCTGAGGGACTTTTTCACATATAAATAAGACCGAGGCAGATAAGCGGTCCGCAAAGAAAGAAAGTCATTGCGGCTGAAGAGGCTGCCTTAAGGACATCGAGATTCAAAAGCGCCGTAGAAATGGCCAACTGCAGATTGCTTCGAAGCCACCTCATCCCGACCCTTATGTTTTTCGAGGTATTTGTTCGAATCTTCTCTTAATACTTTGTCAATTTCAGCACTTGTTTGTGACCCACCGTTATACCATGCTGTCATGATTCACTGAATACAGAGACATTACCTGCCCATTTTATACCAAACTGTTTTTCCTGAATACGAGTGAAGCGAAGTAGCATGCATATATAAAACGCTTGCATTTAGTAGTCGGGAACGGCGGAGAGCAATTCCCACCAATAGAGCCTCCGTTGCTAGGAAAACTGCACCCTCATCTTGATCCAGCTCCAGGCCCCCAATACTCCGTACGTCAACACCATTGGAGCAAAATAATGTGTATCTAAATCCCAAGGCTGCCTGCCACAAACCAAGAGGTCGTCACCTGCAAGCCTTGGTCGGCCGTATACAAACAAGTATATTGTGTCCGTGTTATACCTGCGTTGCAGCACGCAGCCGCCATGCTCAATAACTTACCAGAGATGCATTGCGCATGATCTCTAATGAACTGGAAGCCTGTGGGGGTTGCAGCACAGCAACGCTGTCCCTGTTCCGTCTAACGTTACAGTGGCGTTGCATTGACAACTGCTGCGAGAAACTCTGTTATAATAATCGATTTGAAGAAACGGTCGATTTGAGGCATGATGGATGCAAAAAATAGCATATTATTTAATGACTTATGCCACAAAACACCACTTGTCTCTCAGGATAACAAAATCCCTCATCACACCGAGTTGCTATCTTCTGGAGTAACATTTTGGTTCCTTTTACTTTTGGAGTTGGGGTTCTGTTATTGGGGTTAGGGATGTTTAAACAAACGTGCAAACTGACGCTATGTTCTGCCTTTAAGCATTAAGTCGTCCCTTTTAATTAATTTATTTATTTTTGTTTGCGTCCAACTGTGTCCGCTGCCTAAGAACTGTTAATAAACGGTGACAGATGTTAATGACATTTCAAGAGCAATGGAACACATCTGCAGAATTTCTTTTCGTTGTAGGAAATCATGAAGTTGAAATCTATTTCATGGTTTTACCAGATTCATTGGGGTGGTCGCTTCTTTAAGATAACTTAATTAAATATTACAGAAAATTGGTGAGAAGGTACACCTATTTTTAAATACCATACAAGTCACACTTACTGATTGGACTTTTTTCTTTGCACAACGCACTTGAATATCTGTGATTAAAATGAGAGTAATTTGTGCTTCGTATGAGATTTGAATTAGTTGTTAAACTCTGTTTTAACTGCAGTATGGAAAACATTGTTCTCCACTTTTTTCCCTCAAGCTCTTTTGAGGGCCAAGTTGACAATAAATTGAATTCAGATCCCATCACATCCCTACTGATGGATCAAGGATTCAAGAATTTCCATTCTGCTCGCGCGGACGAAAAAATACCCACGTAGTGCACTTCCTTCGCAAGTGTGTCGACCGCCTCCATCGTGTACCGAAGGCCGCTCTCCTTCACGAAGACCACCTCAATTTCGACCTCAGGTATTGGCAAGGGCTCGTATTCACAGGTGACTGTGAATTGGCGGGTGCCCAGCTCTTCGGGAATGGCCTTCGTTTGTATCGCCCCGTAATATCCTGCGAATGTGACACCAGGCACCCCGGACTGAAGCTTGTGTATGACCATCTCTGTCGCGCGGAATTCTGCGTGGAACAATGATGTAAACAGACAACAATAAGCATATCATCGTAATTCCTAGAATGCCTTTGTCCTGTGTAAGTTTATGTATGTTATCGCCAACGCTTGTTTGTTTGAAAGTGCACTCCGATTGTTTCCCGCCCAAAATATCTTTATAAAGACTGAAGCTTCATATAGATTTTTCTGTTCGAGAACAGATCGACAAAGAAAGAAAGTAACCAATTTACACTGGCCTTTTCTACAGTTTTCCACTAAGTTATTGGTGATCCACTGTATCTTTGTCTTTTCACAGGGTTTTTCATAAACCGTCTTACCATAAATTGCTTTACGGTTTTTATCATATTTAAGCCATAAGTGGACTTTATCTACCTATCATGTAAGGTGGCCTTTCCGTCACTGTTATTTGAGGAAACTCAGCCAAGTAAACACGGGGAATGTCAGTTTTGTCGTCCATGCTTAGCTCAAATGTGGTGCGCAGCGGGGATGCAAATTTGCCCAACGGGAACAGCACCTCGGCACCGCCGTTGTCCGTGGGCCCCGTAAAGAAAGTCCTCTGGGGTTCACCTGTTAAAAAAATCAGCAATGTAAACCGATTCATTAATCCAGTCACCAATTTGTCGATACCCACTGATTGTTTAAGGTGTGGTAATTTGTTGACAGAGGTTACCATGTCTTATCAAACTCCATGATGGGCGAGATTTTCATTTCTACCCAAACGTCCTGGCCTGCGGTGCTGTGCACTTCAGTCCAGCGTCTGCGTTTGTCTTGGACTTACCCACTCGCTGTGTCTTTCAAGGGAAGCTTAGGGCTCAAGTATTGGTTTGTTGTATAGCCTACCTCTTGGGCAGCCCAGGGCGCGGCGAATCTCCTCTGTAGTTTTACTGAGCTCTGACAAGTTGAAGGCACGGACGCAACTACCGCTGACCGCCGTGTTCACCCCGCCGAGTCGGAACGCAGCACAGTCGCAGGGGTCGAGGGGAGACTGCCCCGTCAGCACCCAGCGGTACAGCAGGGTTTGAGTACTGGCGTCCCGCTGAAGCTCTTGACCGACGAAGCACGTGTACGCTTCAACTGAGAAGGGAATTACATGGGTATGCATGAAGTAACGCTATACCAAGGTGATGGGTGATAACAGACATCAACATTCAAGATTGCATCGGGTCAGTCTGTTTTGTGTCCCACAACTTTTGTATCCGCTCCATTTACCCGAAAGTAGTTTGACTTTATCACTTTTGATAAGTTGTGAGTTGCAGTGACGTAACAACACGCCCCATTCTTCCTCGGCAATTGATGCGGGTTAAGGGGAAAAATCGACCCTAGTCATGACCAGCTCAATCCACATCCCTCGTGAAATGTCAAAGTGTGTTATACTCACCAGCGATAAAGGTAAACTGCAAAATGATAGCAGAAATAACGGGAAACGTTTTCCCCAAGCCCATTCCTGTAGACTTTCAAATGGAGCTGTGTTCGTTTCTGATGATACCAAGGGTTGTTTACTTTCTTCAATGTCCCTTGAGAACAATTTGCTGAGACGGGTGGAGGGAATCTCATTTAGAAAGCAATCGATATTCCATCCACTTTAAAATTACTTGACGGGTTGGCGCTTCGTTGAATCCAGTCAGCTCGAGCTGGATTCGTTTCAACTTGAAACATGCTTCATCCGATCCACCCGCTCACAATCTTCTATGCTAAGTATAGCACTTGTATATGTACATGTAATAATTTGTTCTGTAAAACATCTGACTATCCTACATGAAAGTGTAATAATGTATGTACAAGACAGCAATATTCAAGCACTCAGTGTAATGATGAATGACCGTGGACCACGATCAACTGGTGACGTTGCCATGGCATACTGCATAGCAACCGTTGGTTGAGTCAATATAGCTGGCTGGCTGTTAAAATTGACCTTCCAGGGTTTGATCTAGCGGTGACCTGTTTCAACAAAAATGGCAGGAGTTTCCAGAGGGGAAAAGAAGCCTGTTGGAACATTAAATGGCTAAATTGAAGCCTGTTCGGTGGGACAAGAAGCAAGTGCTGTTGGCTGTATTACAAAAACGTTGCCTCTATTATTTCCCAACGCTGTTCACTGTATCCCCTCAAAATACTGGCCCGTGTTAAACATAAATTATCACTGGACCGGTGTTTATAACTTGCATTAAAAAAGGAAAAAGGAATCTTTTAGCTCCATCTTGTTTTCATTCCATTTGATTTGTTTTCGGCTGTTACAAAATATGCTCCACCAGTAAACACAAGCAATCAAACCTGAGTCTGTGCCACTTTTAGCACTAACTGAGATCAATGGAAGCATAACGATGACGCATGCGTTCTCAAACCTGAGGCGTCCGTGCCTTTCATAATGGGGGGGGGAGGGTTACCACATGCACACGACCGTGAAGTTTATCAAATACCTTGGGGATTTATAGATCGTGATGACGTCATTGACACGTACTCGTCCCGGTGTACAGCTCTTGCCGGCACTGCAAAAGCAGCGCGTAACGTTACAAACCAGTAGATAAGCTGCCACAGATAACAGTTTCGTTCTTCATCCGATTAAATTATTTTTACCACTGCACAGGCACATCACTTCTTTTTTTCAACAGTAAGATGAGATGATAAGAATTATATACATGTATTTATTTCACAAGAAATATAACTCAAATAGAGAAAACTGAGTCTTGAACAAGTGTCAATGAAAAGTGAAGCAGTGCGTCCTACATAGTAAAACTAAAGACAAAACATTACATAATTGTGCACAAGTTGGCTAAACAATATACTTCATTTATAATTTGACCGTGTAGACAAACACACCTTAATGTCTATATGCCCAAACAAAGGAACTAATCTTGTTAAACTTGAGAGAACGAGGAATTAGAACTCTTAGCAAAAGTGCAAATGTACTATTAAAACGAATTTGATTCTGTTTCTGACAGTTTGACTGAGAGCACCTGTGTTAAACGTAGGTCCTTTAATTGAAAGATGACCGCGGCGCCCTCCATTCAGTTCAATTTGTTTTTTTTCAGATGGTTTAACTTTCTTTTGCTGGAAAATGAGTGGTTACATCGCAAATCCTCCATAACTGTGCTCTGAATAAAGGTTTTGGGAACAACTTCGTTTTGGAAAAATAAGATCAACCCATTCCTTTTCGTGACAGTCTTGAACATAATATGTCAAGTTTACATTTAATCTAAATATCGACTGGAAATGCCATTTCTAGAGAAATGTGTCGAAAATATTCCATACATATAGTCCATTCATTTGTCTTCGAAAGGTTAAAACACATCCACATATGTGGGGGAGATTTTGCTGAATTCTCTGTCGAACTCTGCCAGTTCTCAAAGAACGTAGGCCTGCTGCATACCATTGTAACATTTTTTACTGAAGTTCTGAATTTGATTTCACTCTGTGTCGAGGAATATTCTACACGAGACAATGCACACAACACTATTTCAATACCTTTTGCTTCTGGCAAATTTAAAGCAACAGTGGCCTTGTGCCGTTCATAAAACAACAATACTAATGCACTTTGAGATAATAAATGCGCTGTTTGTGACTTGAAATTTAACTTTGCAAGTAAAGTAGGACTTTGTGTCTTTGCTGAATATGTATGTTATTGCTTTTCTCTCTCCAAGATTGTCATCAAGTCTTCACTGGAATGAAAAGAAAGTACCCATCAGTTTAAGTATAATTATGTAGTACATTTTGTCTTATACTCTCGAGACGATATTATGCCCCTCGAATTTTTCCAAATATATGTGTTTGTTAAGTGAATTCAAATTATATCGAGCGATATTTTGGGGGGCTCAAAGAGTGAAAACTTCCATTCGACACGTCCGGTCGATGAAATACCCAGGAAGTGCACACCCTTTGCTGGGGATTCCTTGAACAGTCTGGATATTTCAAGTCCTCCCTCATTGTAAGCAAGTCGTATTGTGATTTGTTTGTGTTGATAGGTCACCTCGATCTGGCATTGATTAACCAGGAATCTGGTCTGGATATCTGTCGCTGGGGATTCAGACTTCCGCGTCCTTACCCTCATTCCAGTCACGAGGAACTCTGAAAAAGATTAAAATCAGTATGATTTGATTTGATTCTATTTGATTTGATTGATTTTTTAGCAAAAGTGTTTTTAAAAACCATATAGGCCTGTACATGTTTCTGAAGGGATAAGCACGCCTTATTCCATACTCCATACTTTAATTTTTTAGTTGTAAAAAGGCCTTCAGAAAAAGGCCTATGTACACTTTGTATTTTTTTAATTTTTATTGGCTGAGTTGGTCTTATGATCACCCATAATACTTTAACATAATACTTTAAAGGGATAATAGTTCCTAACACGGGTGACTCCAGTATTGGCGTGATCCTCCCTAAATGGGGATATGGACTTGGGCTTTTTACACACTAAAAAATTTTGAAAGAGGGAAAGTAAAGTAGACCAAAACGTTCGTGTTTCTCTTATTTTGAAAAAACGTTTTGGCTCCTTTCTTAGGAGGCCATCCCTCCCCCTAGCCCTCTCCGGATCCTCCATGGGGTCAAAACCAACTCAGACACAACCACATCGGATAAACCCAGATGCCTTACTCAGCATTTCAATTAAAAAGGATGAAACAGAATCGTTTACCTATCAAATAGGGTGACTGATTGATCTGCGAAGAGTTACTAGTCTTGGCCAGGTAGATTCGTGCGATACAGTCTGGATTTTCCCTGTTTAACTCAACTGTGATGCCCAACGGAAATGTAACTTCACCGAAAGGGAACAGCACCACTGTGTCGCCGTTTTCTGTTGGCTCCGTGATGAAAGTAGGATGGTCCTCACCTATTAACAATCAATACATCCGATACAGTCATCAACTCATCGATATACTTGATAAGTCTGTCAGTCACAGTACCGTATTTACAGGGTGGTGGGGGGGGGAGTAATCTCCAAACATTTCGAAGCTTTCGACAGCATCTGATGAGCTTTTCAATGTTCAAGTTCCAAACTTGAATATGCGTTCAATCAAGGTCGACTACGGACGCCAGTCGTAATATTAAATGGATTCCGAGGATGTTTAAGACCAAATTTCATCACCACACGACTTTTTTTGCTCTATGTCACCTCTGCGTGTCTGCGACTGCTCTGCGATTGTGTCTGCGCCCGTGGCCACGATGACAACCTACCCTTTTGGCAGTCTGGGACACCTGTCATCTCCGTTGGTGTTTTGCCGAGCTCTGCCAAGCTTACGCCAAGGGCGTAAGCGGGACGTCCAGCCATGTTTAGCCCTCCCAGCTGGAAGGCATTACAGCCGACACCGCCGAACGCTTCGAGAGGAGGCTCCGTCAGCAGCACCCAGCGGAAGTGACTCCCATGTTGCGACAGCAGCTCTTGACCGAGGAAGCAAGAATATGCTCCAGCCACACAATGAAACAAAGATAAATTCTTAGTGGTGAGAAAAACCCTGAGATACAGACTAACTGGCACGAATATTATATACTTTCTTCACTGTGCATGACGTCACAATTTGAATCTTGTGTGGCCGTTCATACTTTGCGCGAAAGCGAAAGTGAACGCGCATTTGTGACGTCAGATCAAGATATTCGCGTTGCAACCCTGTAAAAGTGAAACCAATTTCAACTCGAGCGAAATTTCGTTGAAAAATTGTCCTGACGTCAATATCGCTTCGCTTTCGCTTGAAGTATTAACTGGCCTTTAGTTCTACAAGTTTCGCAATGACCAACAAAAGCTGGTTGTGTTTTTTTCTTTAAAAATTCTTTAACCTGTGTTTTGCAATTACACGTTTTGCAATAACCGTGTTCAGGCAGTAAACATTAGGCGCATGTCCAAATTCTGTTCTCATGGAACTTTGCTTCGATAGCTTCATTGTTAGGGAGGTGAGTAGTTGGACCAGGCAAATGTTAAATTAAGTAGCTATGAAGACTTTTCCTTCAGACGTCTGAGGATATCTGTCTAAACGCAAAAGAGTGAGTCACTTGTAAATCTACTCAAGAAGACTGAAAACTACTATGTTGTAAAATTCGCACTCTGCCAAGGAGATAATATACAGATGATATACAACTCGAAAAGTAGCTGTCTTTTATACGGCTCCTCTATTTTAGAGTGATTTTCACTGGACGGTAATTTTTAACCGTTTTGGAGTGGTTTTCACTCTTTTCGAGTCGATTTGTGAAGGACTCACTCTTTTTGAGAGTGTTTTTTTTACACGTTTGCCTTTAGAGAGTATACCGGTACTTAACATTGAAAAATACCTACAAAACCGATGGCAACACAGTCTTTTAAAAGTGAAGTCGAAGAGAACCTGTTTTTCAGGAAAGTTTCTTCCACACCACATACTTTTTGTCTTTTTACAATTTTCACATCAAACAGTTTACAGGCCACTGATTAGTTCATATTAAAAAGCAGGTTTGCATCTACCAGTCTTTTTCATTTTTAAAGTTTGTATCCACATTCGAAAGCGGCTATTATAATTCCCAGAATCCATACTTACCACTAGTAAGCGGCCCATGTACGACAAAAACCATAAGCATTGCTCCGAGCACGTCCATATTCGATTTACTCCAAGTTTACGACTCGGTTTTTCTTATCACTCGAGCCTGTCACCCCCACGATATTTTTAAGACATTTTAAAAACGCAATCAATATTCCATGGTAAAAATTACTTCAGCTTCGCTGCATTCCTATGCTTCTGCACTTGGTTCATTTCAATTTGAAGGCTCCAATATTGTGTCTCACTGCACTTTCATTTAAGGTCTGCTGTGCTGAAAATTATATTTCTCTTCTCTTGCAAGCAAGTCAAATGTGTTCAAGGTTTAACTGCTTTGTTTTTCTGAGCTTGCGAAAGTGTTGCGTGGTCGCCCCTCCAGAATAATTTTGAACGCAGTCAATATTCCACAGTGACAACCTGAAAATTTGTGCAGCTCCGCCTCATTCATACACCCTTCGCTTAGTTCATTTGGCTGCAATTGTTCTCTTGCAATTTCTTCCCGTTGTTCTCTTACATTTTCAATTAAGGTCTACAGTGCTTAAACGTAGCCCGCCATTCAGTGGCGTCACGTCAGTGATGGCGGGGGGGGGGAACCGGTTAGGTATGTATGAAGGAGGACATATTACGGAGAGCCCCCCACCTTTGCGTTGGTCATTGTTTGATCGGAATCTCAGGAATTACATCAGGGGGATGTGTAAGGCAACAACAGTTCAGAGTGTGTATGGGGATTGGACATGTAGGGGGTACCCCTCCTTCCCATATCTTGCTGGGTATTGTGAGGGTGTGGCTGGAAACCATGTGACACTGAGAGCGCTGTTCACCAGTGGCATGTCGGTAAGAATGAATGAACAAGTCAACCGTTGAAGACGTCAATACGCATAATTTGCAAAAGAAAAGACACATAATTTGAAGGGTAATCGCTCGGCTGTAGGAGCAATATTTGTCGTGGCGGTTGATGTGGGAATACTCTATCTTTCTATAGGTCCATTGTCATCTGAATGCAAAAGCAGAAGTCTGCGTGTATTGTTTACATCCGTCGTGCGACTAATATTAAATCCATTTTGCGATTGATGATTGTTATCTATGAAAGCCCAGGAAGAAAATAAAGAAAAACTGAAACCACTCTTCTGAAATTCCTATGATAGGTTGCAGACACGAACATCTAACACTCGGTTTACTAACAATGAGCGTCCATTGTTATTTCACCGTGCTTCTTTTGTTAGACGTTCATAGAGACCTAAATCTAGGTTTGCGAGATAATCGTATTTGAAGTTGGTCTCTTTTTCAAACGCTTATTTTCCTAGCACTGAGTATTCCTTTGACTCAAGCAATGCTACCCCATGCAAGAAGAGATCTTAAATGACTCAAAACTACAAAATAAAATTTCTAGAACTCAATTGAAATTTATTGTTTTGGTCTATTTTGGCAAAAAAATCGTGTGACTTGTCTGTTCGTGAATACAGCACACACAGTACATGCTTTTGTCACAACACGTGACAATTGCAAAATTGTTTCATTTGTATACATGTCTGGAGTCAATTCGTCTCTTCGTGAAAACTGCAAAATAAGTTTTGCCCAATGGCTTTTCCCTTTTTTTGCTGACGCTGTATCTAGTCGCTTCATGAAAACGAAAACTGCGGTAGCTGAATTTTACCTCAGGAGATCATTGTGATTTGGCTGATTTCAGCAGATTTGGTTTAAAAAGTTTTACAAGTTGTAGGCATCACATAGCCTTGCTGGTTTTGCCAAAAAAGAAGAGAAATTTGAAAAAAAAAATGATTTGTCTCTTCGTGGAAACGTTGACTATGCAAGCAAGAGCTCCGGTCTAATAGTAAATCGTTAGAGGGCGCACTATGCTTGACTCGCGTCATGTACCATGGAGGCTGAAAGTGCTTGCACACGTACCTACATGTAGGTAGTAGAACCATGGAGGAAGGAACTTAGCTGCGGCAACTTGTTTTTTTCACAATGATGAGACAGAAAGGTATGGTGCCGAGAAAACAAAAGTAGCCTCACAAGTTTTGTTAATCGTGTTAATTGCGTAGGTTGCATGCTGAGCCAACTGAAACACTACAACCTGACAACGTTTACGAGACTGAGTGACATGACTGACATGAGTGAGCAGAACCCTGAGTCATGTGAGTAAGCATAGTAGGCTGTGTGTTTTGTGTGGTGTATGGTGTGTTTTGGCATTTGTTTTTTTTAAGTACCTATGGGCAGTGTAATCAGACATGCCAGACGTCCTGTATTTTACGGGATTGTCCCTTCATTAAGTTCATGCCCTTTTCATGCTTTTGCCCTGATCTGCTGATGTCCCGTGTCCTGCACCCATACGTCCAAACTATAGCGTCTGCCCAAACTATAGGCTATAGCTGGGACAGTAGTGCTGCAGTCATGCAGTTGGGCTGGCCCAACTACATGTATTGTTGACCAGTTTCAGGTTTGGGCATCTCACATTTGACACAGTTCATCTAAGATATGGCACTTCATCTATGAAATGTCATGGTAAACAAATGGCATATGCTGGGCACAGGCACACGGGACCTCTGGGCTGTAGTTGGGCCAGTCCAACTATAGCACTCTAGTTAGGACGGGCCCAACTATAGTTGGAACAGTCCCAGCTATAGTTGGAACTGATGTTGTAGTTGGGGCATAACAGTGACCCTTTTCGGGCATGCCGGGACACGTTTTTAGGCTCCCATTATTATAGTATTTGTACAATTTCTACAGATTAAATGATACAAAGAAATTACCAACGCTTAATGTTCTCAAGATTGCAAGCTGCTTAAAGCCAAGCTTCCCGTGGATAATATCGCTAGGCCTAGCTAGTCTTGTCACGAGTGATAATAACTGACCTAGGCTGTGTCTGAAATGGGCTCCATGGCTACGGCTTGGTCTATTGTCTACGCATCTCCGCACATTTCCAATGGAGTGAAGACCTACGTGTACACCTAGACAACAGATTCGGACAAAGTATAAGATTTTATCACAAGTCGTTGGCGGTCGTCACTTGTCAGGGATTCTTTGGTCAAGGAAAAACCGGAACATGCATTCTTACAAGCTGCATACATGTAAATGTAGTTTATCGTTCTATTGGAGTTTAAGAATAATCAGAAATCAGAGTTTAATCATGGCTTCAAGTTCAAAAGTCACAGATTCTAATAAAAAGGTGAAACATGAATGTACATGTAAGTTAGACCAGAGTGGCAGTCAAAAACAGAATTAAAATTTGTTGCCTTTTGCAGTGCAGTGAAATGAGAAACACTTTTAAACTGTGTTGCATTGCATGATTTGCACCCCCATTTCAAGAAAAGTTCTTAAAACACATCTACATAATTTTGAATTGTGCAGAAATACATGTGCATGTATGTTAAAAATTATACATGTAGTTTTCACGACCCTATTTCACTCCCCTCTCAGAGCAAAACTAAACAACAGCCGTCGGGTACCGAAAGGTGTCTAAGAAATTCCCAAGAATCGTGACGTCATACATGTAGGATGGAATCCTTTATCCAGCGACTGTTTACTGTACTATGTACAAGCGACAATAATTCCAGTGCTAATGCTTTTTTCGATCATGAGAGCGATCAGTTGTCATGTTCGTCTTATTTACTCGATGAAGAAAGCGACACTGATGGAGCTGATGAGGCTCAAGAAATATTGCCGTATCAGTTGGAACCATAAGACACCATAAGATTTTGCAACTCGAGGTTCTTGGCCATGGGCATATGGCAGGGACCCGGAGGATCGACAACAAAATACTGACTAGTAATGATTCTGTCTTGCACCATTATACTAAAAATTTGTCTTTTTGAAAAGACGTAACAACAGCCACTGATAACACAGTTTCTCTGCATTCTTTTGAAATTCACAATTCACCATAGAAATAATTACATGTGGACAACGCGATGTGAAACAAAATAAACGCGACGTGTCGAGTTAGCTGTCCAATACATGTACCTCAGCCCGATGTTGGGAGAAGGGCATAGGAAACAAGACCAAATGTGGTTGACTTGACACTTACAAGTTACGTACTGTACATGTACATGTACCTGCGCCAGAGCTGAGAGCAGTTATTATTCTTGCGCAGACCAATCTTGGTCTGGAAAGTCGAGTCCGTCCAATGACGTCACAGTTTTGCCAAGATTTGTCTGCTACCCTCATGGACTGATTTCGATAATTTTTTGCGAAGAGCCCAGGAGGAGACTGAAAAAAGCACACATAAATGCCAATTTTTGCTTATTTAATGACATAAAAGAGGGGCTCATCCAACTTATTGTATATAAGATGGTTGAAAACTATCATATAACCTCAATTTAACCCTACCGGTACATGGCCCTATCCCTTTAAACACAAGGAGTTAGAACAAAGTCCCTACAGACATGACAGACCGTAATCTGATTAACTGCTCTGGTGGGCTCCATAGACAAAGCGTGGCTACCTGCCCTAGTGTTGAAGACCGTAGACATTCTTTGTACACAATGAACACCACCGCCAGGTACATGTACTGTAGCTGGTAACCCACATACTCACCATGTTTCGCTGCGGCATGCTGGAGATTTACATTAAGAGATAAGCAAGACTTCTTACCCTGTTGAAAAATTCTATTATTTAATGAATAATTTACTTTTTAAATCATTCTAAGTTTTCTGTCGCTTTTCATTTGAATCTGCTTGAAACAAGCCTCCATATTGCCATTTTTCTCATTTAAGACAAAAGAAAATTTTCCCTTCCTTTCATGAATTTTGCATCTGTATTCAAATTCGAAAATAATACTGGAATATTTGACAATCTATTCAATATTCAGTTATTCTGATATTTGGCATTGCCCTATATTGGTGCTACTGGTAGCTCCCATCATGGTCTGATGATGTCTGACCACTGCTAATCCCTCACTGAGTTTCTACTGCCAGTACTGGGCCAAAACCTAGGGGCCTACCGATGCATCATATGTACATATACATTTACATGTATGTTATTATTCATGTTATGAGCATGGTTAGGGACCTACATGTACATGTACATGTACCTGTACATTGTGTACCATGCCTATGGGCCTACTGTGATACAAGTACATGTATCTAATGTACATGACGTATATGTACATGTACCGGTACATGTGTGTGACGTTGCCATTGGATCAGTGTGATATGTAGGGAAGCCAGTGATACAGCAGGGTTCTGTGTTTGTAGGCCTACATGTACATGTACCGGTACATGTATCTGTCACCACACAGATTTGGTTATTTTCATCGATCATTTTCTCGCAATGCTGTCGGTCATTGCCTGCGTTGTGAAATACTTGTACATGTACATGTACAGTTGTACATGTACATGTATTCCCCACTCTGAATAGAAAAAAACTTTTGTACATGTTCATTACATTTTTTGAAACTTACATGAGATTTGATGAAGGAAAAATTACTTTTAGCTACTGTGACATGGAATCCGCCATCTTGGTTTTAGCATGCAATGTTGTGGTCATGTTTGCCCTTGAAATCTTCACAGGATTCAAGATGATGTCATTGGTGAAAATACATGTAGCCCTACACGTATGTACACATATATTCACGATCAGAGGAAAATAGGCTTTTACCTGGTACCAAAAATGTGCAGATTGATGCATGTTAATATAGGAAAATGTCAAGGAAAATTTAATAATGAGTTAAAAATGAAACTTTCTAGATGAAAATTGCAACTTCTGTTGTTTGTATCTTTAAACCAAGATCTGAGCATCGTTGAAGAGCCAGGTTCTGATAGGCAGACTTGTACATTTGTTTTTGGCCTCACCGAAGGTACATGTAGTCAACTTTTCAAGCATTGACTTTCCAGATTTTGCCTGGTTCCAGATCATTTGAAAAGTAAAGCTACATGTACCTTCATTGTATTGTTGTCCGACACCATATTTTCAGATGAGTGCTGTTTTTAATGATAAAATGAAAGTTTCTAATAAAATTTCTTTTCAGACAATTTCTGGGCAAAGAAGTTATGCCCAATTTCCAGCTCGCATCCGGACATGTTTGGGTGCTTGGTCAAAAATTAAGGGAGCCAAAACATGTGATTCTATATAGGCCTACTTTTTCATACTCAACAGTCATATGCATGTACATACTCTCACGTTGAATTCTTTATCACACCAAAATGAATTTTAGAGTCTCCAATTTCTAGAAATATGTCAAAAGCTGAACAAATGTTTTTTCCTAGTTTTGCATTGCGCATGGAAGTGCATGCACATCGTTGGTAAACATAACTACTGTACATGTACGTGCATGTGTGCAGCAGATTTGTACTGGTAAATTTATGTGACATAATGGGTTTGTCAACAATGTGGTGGCGGGGATATGATTGGTAGCTCGCTGCACAGCTGGAAAAGTCGAGTCATAAGTTGCTCAAGTTCTCTTTTCTAGTTCACTGGAATTTTGAAATATGTACTAAGTTTCACTAAATTAAGAAACTCTTCATTAGAAAATCAGCTTATCAAATCAGTTATACTGTGGTTCTGGCCGAATGGATTTTTCACTTGATTACTTTTTATGTGCAAAAAGTTTTGAAGTGATTTGGAACTGGTTAAACCAATCAAGAACTAGGAATAGAGTTGTGTTTACTTGCGCCCATCCTGAAAGTCCAAATTAAAAGTTTAGATTTTGAAAACACTTTTGTAGTGTCTCCTGCAAACAAGGTGGACTGCTGACAAAAGTTCACTGAAATGGCAGGATTATTTGAGCTGCCATCAGAGTGAATAATTTTCTTTCCGCAAAGTAGTACTTATTTGTTGTATTACTAGTTGGCATTCCATGTACGTCGTACAAAATGTGAGCCGCTCTGCAAAAAAGGGTAATAAGTCGCGCAATTCCAAAATATGTTATGGCGATTAATGCGATTCTTGTGTTTTTTCCTCTGTTACCGCAGCTTGTATAACATTTATGTTTTCAGAATTTGGGACTGCAAACATGGATGAATAAAGATGAAAAATTGTTCATTTAGTAGGAAATCCTACATAGCATTGTTTCTAAGTGCTACACTTTTCTGAGCTTTTTCTCAAAAAGTGCTTTTATTAAATCCGAAAATGTGGATATACATGTACATGTACAAATGTCTAAATATCTCTGGAATGCAGTGCACTACAGGGGTCATTCATAAATCAAATTGTAGCTTTTGATGCACTCAATCCAGCCACATAAAAACCTATAACCTGAATCTGGCAACTTATTACCCATTTTTCTAGAGCCGGTCACAAATAGTGCCCTTTTTGTGACCCAACTTCACCCCACATATCTTATGTCTTGAGTGTGCCTATTGGTTATCCCTGTGCTGATGACCCGTCTCCTGACCTGTGTAATGGACAATCACCTCGTACATGTACTGGTAGCTGAGGGTCCAGTCCACTAATTCAAGCCCCATTGAAAACAGTGTAAAATCAACACCGTTCAGGGCCCAATAGCTTGCAT